GTCGAAGACAGAAACCCAATGATCCATTTCCTCCCACTTAGTTCTCACAACCTAATGGTCCACTCACCTATGAACAGTCTATTGACAAAGTCAGCATCCTCGTGTTCCTATTACTTCTCAATAGTACCAACACCAACAGGAAGCAATCCTTGTACACAAAGCACTTGGGGCCATTTTATCTCCAAATAATAATGTTAGGCTAAGTATTTTAATCATTATTTAATCTAAAACCCCATGATCTATTATTGCTGAATTTTTTATGTTCACTTGGTCTCAGAGAAGTTAAATGACTCTCCTCAAACCACACTGGAAGGAAATTCAAGGCTGTCATTTCCATCTATATTCTAGCTCTTGAGATTGCATTCTTATCCATAACACAATTCATTACAGAATCATTTCTTCAAAGTCAGTACAGAGGCATACTCTAAAAGTAACTTCTGAACATTTCTTCTGAATATAACTTCCTCTCCTGAGGACAGTTATTGTTAATTTATTCTAAATGATGACTTTCTCATTTCCTCTGCAATCTATAAGAACCATTCTTTTTATGTGTAAGTGCTACTTGATCTTTTCTAAAATTGGCATAGCAGGGTATTGTCTCTTGAGATGTGGGCCTATATAGGAATCCAAAACTCATTTTTTTTTCTTTTAATTTAAAAAAAGTTTTTTTCATTTTACATACCAAACTCAGTTCCCCCTCCCTTTTCTTCTCCCACCCTCCTGTTCCCCCCCTTCCCACCCTACCCATTCTCCATCCATTCCTCAGAGTGGGTAAGGCTTTCCTTGGGGAGCCAACAAAGTCTGGCATACCAAGTTGAGTTGAGACAGGAACACCCCCCACCTCCTCACCCCACCCCACCCCATATCAAGGCTGAGCAAGGTATTCCACCATAGAGAATGGGCTCCAAAAAAGCCAGTTCATGCACCTAGAATAGGTCCTGGTCCCACTGCCAGGGGCCCCACAACAGATCATAAGTGCCACCCATATTTCAAGGGTCTAGGTTGGCCCCATGCAGGTTCCCCAGCTGTCAGTACATAGTCTGTGAGCTCCCACTAGCTCCTGTCAGATGGCTCTGTGGTTTGCCCCATTATGAACTTGACCTCCCTTGTTCACGTGATCCCTAACCCCTCTCTTCAATTGAACCCCAGGAGATCAGCCCAGTGCTTGGCTGTGGGTCACTGCAAAAATTGCTCAACATCTTTAGTCATCAGGGAAATACAAATAAAAATGTCTGTTTTGATACCTTGATCAAAACATAGATAACAACTTAATGCTGGAGAGATTGTGGAGTAAGGAGAACACTCCTCCACTGATGGTGGGAGTGCAAACTTATACAGCTGTGGGTGCCCATAAAGATGGTTGCACTCTATCTTGGCACAAGAACAGAGAGTTCAAAACTGTCCTCAGCAAGTCATAAGACCTAGAGGTCAAAGGTATGGCTACAGTAGGATGTTTGGCTGTCTTATTCTAAATAACAACAGACCTAAATCTGAGGTGTGGCTACTCCTGACCCTCAAGGCTAGGGAACAAGAAGTTGAATCTAAGGTGTGGTTACTGAACCCTTAGAATAAGTGATGCAGAAAAGTTTCTTTGTTCCATGTATGTGATACTGTGTTACCCTTTTTGGATAAGGTATATAAGAGTGGTAACTCATGGCATTTCAGCACTGACTTATCTGCCCTCCCGACTTTTATTCTGTGTTACTGCCTTTTCTTTATTGTCTATACCTAGCCTTTCCCTCAGCTGCACACCCCCCACTCAGGTATGAACTTCTTTCCCCATCCACACACTCCCACTCACAGGTACGAACTTGGGGCTGTTCAGCTGGTTCTGATTGCAGCCCCACAAAGATGGTTCCTGACATACCCACTTTGGAAATCAGTATGGTGGTTCCTCAGAAAATTGGGAATCAATCTACCTCAAGACCCAGCAATACCACTTTGGTCATTTACCCAAAGGATGTGTAATCATACCACAAGAACATTTGCTCAACTATGTATATTTATAGAAGCATTATTTTTGTTTGTTTGTTTTTTTGGGGGAGGAGTTCAAGTTTTTTTTGTGTAGCTTTAGAACCTGTCCTGGAACACACTCTGTAGACCTGGCTGGCCTGGAACCCACAGAGATCTGCCTGCCTCTACCTCTGGAGCACTGCAATTAAAGTCATGTGTCACTACCGCCTGGCTAGAAGCATTATTTGTAATAGCTAGAACCGGAAACAACCTAGATGCCCCTGAACCAAAGAATTGATAAAGAAAATATGGTACATTTACACAGTGGAGTATTAATCAGAAGGAAAATATCAATGCCATCCAAATCACATTTCATGTGCAAAGAGTCACTTGGATAACAAAAAGTCGGAAAATGATGGCCAAAATTATGTTAAGCATCTGGCAGACATCAGTAAGTTTTGATAGATATTAGTGACAGGCAGGAGAGAAATAAGGATTCCAAGACATTCAAAGAACCCCCTCAATGATTGAGTGTATGCTGTTATTATTTTAATATACTCCTTGTGATTATATTGTGTCCTTAACTATTTGTAATACATACATTAACTTTATTTTCTTGGTGTTCATTTGCATTGATTTAGAGATTTTCCATTGTAAGAGAAAATTCACTAAAAATTCAAAGTTTTGGTATTTGTTTCTATATTTAAACTTTCTCCTCTATCTACTAATATTACATACATTCTTATTCAGTGACTTCCCATTGTGTTGCCACTAACCAAGCCTCCCTATTGCCCCTCAAAGAACACAAATCTGTACCACCAATGCATGTACCATCATGAATGTACATGTACCATGTATTAGTGCATTTGCATTACAGAACATGAGTAAAGGTTAGAGGACAACTAGCAGGGTTCTCTCCTTCTACCATGTGGGTCCTGGGTATTGAATTCAGATTGTCAAGCTTGGTGGCAAAAACCTTTACCTCCATCTCCCTAGCCCTAGTTTCCATTCTTTAAGTAACTATCACATGCGATTAACTCTAGAGGATAAATATCATGTTAAAAAAAAAAAAAGACATGGTTCATGTGAGGTGAAAATTGGGCTAGGGGAAATGGAAAGGGTTTAGTTTAGAAACAAGGAGGTCGACATTTCATCAGGCAAGGGAGCCCCTGTAATTGAAATGTACTGGACTTTCTATCCTGAGTCTAGTAAAAAAATTTCCACAAGATGTCTAGGCAAGGCAAAGAACATAGCAAACAATATAAAAAGAAAAGAGAAAGGATGTTTGGGGAGTAGCAAGTAGTTATAATAGCAGAGACCAAGAAAGAAGAGGAAGTTAAGACCAGATTGTGAAGACACTCAAAAGTCATTGTCACCAGCCACTGTGGAGTATGGTCCTTTGACCCTCAGGGAGCTATTATTTTCATTAACTTTGCCATATATGAATGTACTGCTTTTCCCTATTGAGTAAGATGTTTGTCATATTGACAACCAGTTCTAAAATTCAGACATACTAGTGTACTTTTAGTAACAAAATGTCATGAGTCAACATGCAAAGTTTCTAATGGATCAGACATATTTATTACAAATCATATTCTCAAATTTCTCCTAACAAGACTTTTAACTATGGCAACATTAAGAAGAAATAAAAGATGCTCTTCCCAATAAGAATATTTTCTTTTCTCCAAATGGCTGCTTAGTCACACTGTAAAGTGTAGCCTCCACAAATCAGTCTGGGACTATATACTGAGGAACATAGCTCTAATACTTGGAATTCTAAAAACACCATGGCTATGTGATATTAATAGCATATGTGTGTCTTTGAAAAATTAATTAATTTTTAGAACACTAGTATTTGGGTTTTACCATAGGTCCCTGAGCTATTTCGTCTCAGGTTCTTGGTCACCCCAGCAGGATCAGGTAGGGGTTACATCTTGTGGAGTGGGCCTTCAGTCAATCAGATACTGGCTGGTTACTCTCACAGAATTTGTGCCACTATTGCACTAATATAACTTGCATGAAGGACAGCATGGTAGAGCAAAAGGTTTGACTATTCTTAAAGGTAGGCTTCATGCCAAGCAGTACATGGCCCACAGGAAATTAACTCAATGGCATCTTTGGAGTTTCATTGTCTCATAATATTGTGTCTTCCTTCTTCTTCTTTTAAATTATCCTAATATTTTTTATTTATATAGTTTTTCTTTTTTTATTTATTAAGGTCCTTTGCATATATATTATAGCTTCCAGTTTAGAGTTTTTTTTTTTTTTTGAGAGTGCAAATAAGTAGTTCTGTTTCTCATGCCTTCTCTTGAGCTCTTTTTTTTTTTTTTTTTTTTGCTTTGCTTAGTATCAATGTGGTAGCTTTTGTTTTATCTTATTTTATTATTATCCCACAGAAGTTTTCTGATGCGAGACATGAAAGGGGTGGATCTGAATGAGAGGGGAGGTAGGAGAAGATAGGAGGAGTAGAGAGAGGGAAAATTGTAATCTGAATATATTATGTGAGGGGAAAAATAAACTATTTTCAATAAAAGAAAAAACAGCATATGTTGGGGGAATTTCCCAAGGTAAAATAGAATTAATCATATTATTATTTATAAGCAAGGATCTTTCTATTATTAATGCACCTCCAGGGCTCTACTGTACTTAATTCTGGAGCCTTCTTTCTGGAAGAGCCTGGTAAGATTTAACTCCAAAGTGAGAATCACACCCCTAGAGAAAGTAGCCAGGATTTAACTCCATACCCTAACACAGGCACACAGGGAAACATGTAGTATGTGCTTGAGTCCTCATAGAAATGCTTGATCAGTTCAGACTTCAAAAGAACGGGACAGGACTCTGTCTAATCAGCAATTCACTTCAAAGCTCTCCACTGTAGGGTTTCCTTCCCACTCAAGGCCACAAAAAACAACAAACAAGGAAGATAAAACACAAATCAGGCCATGGGCAGGCTGCCTCTCACTGGTAGGCCTTATTTATAGTTGGACGTCCTTTGCTTCCTCACCCCAGTCAGCCCCTAGGCTCTTAGTCTGCGGCCTGAGCAACAGGAGGTTGGGGAACTGAAAAGCCGCGGAACCAGAAGCGAGGGGGGTGGAGCGGACAGGGGGGTTAGGAGAAGCGGAGGACCGGTAGGCCTAGTTTCCAGGCCGCGGTCACGGTTGCGAAGGGATGGAACCTCTGCGTGTCCTGGAGCTCTACAGTGGCATTGGTGGCATGCACCACGCGCTGCGAGGTGAGAGCGGACAGAAAACTTCTCAGATTCACTCCGTGCCGCAGGTTCCGGCTCTCGCGCCGCCGAGGGGCGGAGTGGCGGGGCGGGACCTGGTAGCAGCCGACCTCGGTTGCCCTGGAAACCACCTCAGCGCCGCCCTGGTCCGCCCCTCAAGGCAGCGACTCCCCTACTCTGGCCCCAAGCTTTGTAGCCCAAGAGGGCCCGGAGCCCCAGAGCACTGTTTGTGAGGCGGGATTCTTGGGCCTGTGAAGTCAAATGAACCCAATTTGGTTCAAAGTTAAAGGACAAGGCGAGTCCTTTGTCCAGTGCCAAGGGCTAAATTCTAGGCTGGCTGTCACTGACCCCGGAGGAAGTCACGAAAACGGGAGGGGGTGGTTTGGAGCAAGGCGATAACTACAATTCAAGACAGAAAATTTCAAATATTAGGGTAGGTAGCAAAAAGGGGAGGGCGCATAATTAAATCTGTGGAAAGAAACGTGCCTTTGGCAGACCTACCCAAATGACAGAGAACTGAGATCAAGTTTTGCCACTCTGGCCTTACATTTTCGAACATGTTATTTGGTTTTAGATGTGTAAAATAGAACTCCCAGAAAGGGACCTAGAGAATTAAAGATAGAGTAAGGTGACTGACACATTGTAGCTATTTAGGAATTAGGTTGCTGTCACCTTCATTTTGAGGGTGTTTAGTTTCTTTGCCATCTATCCACTTTCCGTGATATTGGCTCAAAAACACTTACTTCGTGAACTCCATTGCCATGTTCTTTATGCTGGACACCTATTTGTAGTAACAAACTTTGGATGTGTATGTGTTTGTGTTCTCAAGTTGCTAAGACAGGGACAAAACAGAAACTTTTCTGCTTCCCTTTTTGGTAGCACGAGTAATGACGGGCTAAGAAGCACACAGCTTCTAGTGGTTTGAGGTTATACATGCTTTTCAGCAAATAGTGATTTTTGAATCTATACTAGGTTAGGAATATTGAATGTTTTACTACTTTTTTCTGTTTTTTACACTCATTTATCATACTAAAATTAAGCAAGCTAGGGAAACTTGTACTATCTGATTTACTAATTTTGCACAGTCATACATGTTAGCATTTCCTTCATATCTTGAAACTTTTTAACACAATTCTAAAAGCCACTTAGTACTTTTTTTTAATATAAACTATATAATACATTTTGAACTTGTAGATTTCTCTTGTTTTTTTTTCCTTAGCCACAATGTGCTGCAAATAAATTCTTGAGTGTAAATCTTGAGATTCTTTTTTTCTTAAAACGTGCTTATGAATTTTGTATTAAGTCATCCAACAATGAAGGTTAGAATCACAGTCTTTTCTTATCTGGACTATGAGCTCTGTTTTCTGGCTCCCTAGCCACCCTCCTGTCTAGGCTTGTGGGGTCAATGTTCCTTCACTCTTCTAAGTCCCTTCTTAGCCTTTACTTTTGCTGTTGTTGTCACTTGGGGTGTTGCATACCCAGACTTTTCTGTGATAGCTTTTTTTCCCCCACTCAGTTATTATATGACCTATTAAGAGATGCCTGCCATCATGTTGTCCAAAGAAGCTTGCAGCTTTTTTTTTTTTTTTTTTTTTGGCTTTTTGAGCCAGGGTTTCTCCTGTATTGCTTTGGACCGGATTCACCTGCCTCTGCCTCCCAAGTGCTGTGATTAAAGGTATGTGACACCAAAGCCCGGCCCAAAGCAGCTTTTATACTCCCCCCTACATCTCTTGTTTGAGGTTTACTTATAAAAGAGGTCTTGATCATATTAATGAAAATATTTTTCTAGTGTTTATCTGTTTGAGGAACTTTAGTTTTAAGTTAGTCTGTAATTAAATACACTCTGGTGTTTTCTTGTATTTATGTAGCTAATAAAGATTGATAACAGTGACAGAAGGCTTTGACTTTTATTATGTCAGGACCTGTTCTGACTCTGTAATAAGCTAGCTTAGTGGCAGACCCAGTATCCCAACTTAGGTCTGTCTATCAGATCTTTTAACCATTCTCTGATGCCATCATTGATCCCATTTACTAACTTGAAGAGTAAGAATGTTAAATGCCCATTTGTCTACTTCTAGACCATGTTTGCAATGAGACATTTTATTGTTGTAAACATGTATCTATACACAATACATGCTCACACTAAAATGTATCACTTGTGTTTCAGTGTACAGTTTAGCAACAACAATTGTGTTTATAAAGTCATAAAAGCATTACCAATATTAGTTTTCAGAACATTTTCAGTATCCCAGACAGAAGTATTTCATCCACTTAAAAATATCTTTTCACTCCTCTACCCATTACTCAAGTTACTGAAGTCTCTATTCTACTTTGGCCTATGAATTGTCTATTCTAGGTATCTCATAAGTAGAATCATCTAACTATCCTTTGATGTCTGGCTTATTTTAACACTTCACGCAATGTTTACAAAACTCATCCATGTTGTAGTATTGCCAATACCTCATCCCTTTTTATGGATGAATAATATATTGTTGTATATATAACAATATTGTTTATTCATTATTTGTAGATGTTTAAATTTTTCAGCCTATTTTCTTGCTATTGTGAATAATGTCTCTCTGAGTATTGGCATATAAATATATGTTTGGATTCTTGCTTTGTATTTTCTTGGGTGTATTCTTAAGAATGGACAAACCCAAATGTGTTCTGCTTCAGTATCTTCTTCCATAAAATGAGAGCACAGAAATACCTCTGTATTAGAAGGGAGTTGTAAGAGTATAAATTAATTTTTAAAGAAGTATTTAAAGGCCTGGGGGTTGGCTCAGGGGGCAAGCACACTTGTTCCCCAAGCCAGAGGACCTGAGTTTAAACCCAAGCACCAATGTAAAAAGCTAGGCATGGTTATATGTACCTGAATCCACAGCATTCCAAGGGGAAGACAGGGGATCCTAAGAGCTCACTGGTAGCTGAAAATGACATCTGCTTCACTGCATTAACATGGAAAGCAATGAAGGAAGAAACTCATCGTCCTGCTATGGTCTCTGTGCATGGACACATGCAGACACACACATGCACACATGAGCACACACATGCACACACGGACAAGGCATTTACATAGTGCTTAAAATGTAGGAAGAACTCAATACATATGGAGCAACTTATTGTTGCTCATGAGCCATAAAGTTATAGAAAGTTATTACATATTGTTTAAAAAATAATCTTTGAGAAAAATTGATAAATATTTGAAGTTGCCTGACTGCTGAAGGATATTTGGTCACACTATGAACCCTGAGATTGTGTTATTTATTGGAATAACATGTTTCTAGAATTGGAATAACATGACTCAGCCCTAGAACACAGGTTTAATCCAAGACCTTTCTGCTTGAATATTGTAAACAGGGTTAAAAAGTCAACCAAAGGTCAAAAGGCAGAGTAACCAGTTGACAGGAAGTAAACATAAGATTATTAATTAAAAACCCATAGAGAGTAAGAGGGAGTGAGGAGGATGAACAGAGAGATGCACAGGAAGTAGAAGGGAGGGACTATGAGTCTGAGGATATTTGTTTGGGGGAGGGATGGGCTTCTAGACAGGACAGGCTTCTAGAACAAATGCAGAGGAGGAAGATCAGCTGGGTGCTATCTCTACCTCTCTAAAGCTAGCATCTTTTGCCCCAGCATCTGGCTCTGAAGTCTTGCTTTTGTTTTGTTTTGTTTTTGAGACAGGGGTTCTTTGTGGCTTTGGAGGCTGTCTTGGAACTAGCTCTTGTAGACCAGGCTGGTCTGGAACTCATAGAGATCTGCCTGCCTCTGCCTCCCAAGTGTTGGGATTAAAGGCATGTGCCACCACTGCCTAGCCTGGCTCCAAAGTCTTTATTGGTAAAATCAAACAATTGAGATTTTGTTAAAAGTAACACCTGGCCTTCCAATATCTTGTCTTTCTTTGAGAAATAAAATCATGCCTTTATTTTGAAGTCATATGAATAATGATTGGCTCCATAATGCTTATGTGAAAATTTGGAAGTTATTGTTTCAGAGTGTAGATGCCTTATCTGTGAGATGGACTGCATTGTGAGAGATAAGGAAAAAATGTAGGAAGTATAAAGGTACTAAGTAAATGTTTTCTTCTTTTGTTTTTTTTTCCCCCAGTTAACTGGTTTAACTGTGGTGTTTTGTCTTACTGATAAAATAAGTTCATAATTATGATAACTTCATGAAATTTTGTATTATAGAGTTTGAAATGCCAAGTTAATATTGATGGAAGGCATATGCTTCCAAAGGAATTAACTATTAAGCAAACAGGACTCAGAATGGTAAATTGAAACAGGATTTTCAGAGGTTAGTTTGGGAGGTGTTTGCTTGTTTGTTTTTTTTTTTTTTTTAATGAATGATACTCCACATACACACGGCATATGTGTGTCTGTGTGTGTGGGTACTGAAGGAGGCTATTAGAAGTTGTTAGATTTCCTGGTGCTGGAGTTACAGGTGTTCATTAGCCACTCAACATAGGTGTTAGGAACTGAACAGGACTTAATCTGTAAGAGCAATTAAGTGCTCCTAACCACTGAACCATCTCTCCAGCTCCTAAAGTTATATTTTATGGCAGTGTTGATAGTTAACTAGAGATGGAATAGTACTTTGTGCTCTCCTATAGTTTTCAATAACTTTTACCTGAATATGTCAAACATTGTGAATTTATTGATTATTGACAAAACATCAGCAAAGAACATTGTAAATATTTTATAGTGGTGAGGCCATTTACCAAATTTACAAAATACAGATCCAGAATCTTCATTGTTGAAGTCTGCAATCGACTGGATCCCATGTGTTTATATTGCTTGTTCACTATTTACATAGTTTATTTCCTTTGAATTCTGTATGTAAACATTAATTGTTTTCCTCTCTGTAAAGGACTGAAAAGAACTTTAACTTTTATTTTTTATTTTCATTGAGTCAGTGGGATAAAATCATTTGCTTTACTGTTGCTTTTGTTTGTGTTCACAGCCTAAAAGATGTGTTTTAAGGAGTATCTTTTGTTGCTTATGTTT